TCTATGGACGCATAGCTTTCAAACAATACATACAGACACGCATACTCGCTATGCATTTGTTACTTGTTACAACTTACCAGGCCGTGACCCTTGCATGCAGGAATCTTCAATGGCAGTGAGCTCGGTGATAGGTAGAGCTTTGATGAGGCTCTGCTCCAAGTAAATTTATCAAAATCAAGCACCTGCAGAGACAATGATGCAAAATCAATCACTTGAGTTGCTCGCAAAATGTAATATGTTGGTGCAAAGGAAAATGAATGTTTCGGACGGAAAGAAAATTTCCCAACCTGTACATCATCTAATAATCCATTCCCAGATTCACCACCAACAACAATCATCTTATTTCCAATCACAGTTGCAGCATGCTGTCAAAAAAAAAAAAAAAAAATCAAGAAGTCACCTTTCACAACTGAATAGCAGACGTGTAAGTCTAATCTCTAAACCAGGATATAACTATCATTAATGGTAACAAAATACATACATTGAAACGAGGAGCTGGTTTTTCCCCTGCCATTGACAATACCATCCAATTTTCAGACTGTCCCGAGGCACCATTACTAATATCAGGAACAACGTCAGAAGCACGTTGCCCATCATGCTCTTCAGAATGCCTACTTGCAGGTGCAGCAGCACATTCACTCTACAAGCAAAAAGAGCTTAAGAAACGTGCTATTCTATTCCATTTCAAACACGAATCTAAAACAGCCAAAGAAAATAATCTTACATTAGAACTGCTCACTCGTTTGGGGTGTCTTATAGGACTCCTAGTTCCCTGAGCAGGATCGGAAAGCTGGACCTTCAATCTACAGTAACGAAATACCTTTCTCAATCAAAACATGCAAAGTGTAGTCCCATTAAATCGCATTTCCTTGCAGTTTGCAAGATAGATAAGCTAATAGGGTTAAATAAAATCTCAATACGAATCAACGAATGTATCGTCAAAACTCCTCGCTCAGAAATTTAGAAGTCAAATAAATCCAACGAAGCTCCATACATTGCCTCACCACCACAAAATAAATTCAGATAAATTAGCACAATCGCTCACCTTCCATTCTTCATCCGCCTACGAAACCCGAACATTTTCATGGACTAAAACTTCTTCACGAACACCAATAACTTCCTCTCACTCCAAAACCCTAACCGCTTCAAGAGAAAAAGCTACATTACCATCAAGCGAACGAACACAAAAACCCTCGGAATCCAGAAGAAGTTGCGGAATGCATTCAGACAACCACTGCGGACCACATAAACAGAGTATTCGATCCGCAAAACCGGAATATGAAGCCGATAGTGATAGAAGAAGTCGGAAAAATGCACAGTAGAAAGAAATCGATCAAAACGACATTGAATCCTGCAAAAAAAAAAAGGCCTAACTCCGAGGTTAATCAGCTACTTTTAGCTTCGTTCGTCGATTTTTCGAGATACGAGTGACGAAGAAGAAAGAAAGGAAGAAAGCGACATTAAAGGCGGCGCAGTTTAGCATTGACTTTGTCTTGTAGTAATGGCGGAGAAAGGGAGATTGGTAGGATGCGCCATGTGAAGATGCAGGTGAAGAACCAGACGAAGGGGGGCTGAAGGTCGTAGAAAAAGAAATGACCGTTGATTTTGGAGGGAGGGTGTCATCTGCTCCAGATAGAAACAGATGTGGGGCCCACCGCATTTAATTTTTTTTTAAAGATAATTTAAATATTATTTTTGGTCCCTCGTCTTCCTAACAATCTCATTTTTTTTTTAATTATATTATATTTTACTTAAATTAATTAAAATATTCCTTAAAACTTTTTAACTTTACCTCCAAAAGTTTATAAAAAAAAAATCTAAAATATATTTTTACCCTTAATTTTGGATAAACAATGTCTTTTGAAAAGTTTTATTAATATCATTCACATTTTTTAAAAAGTTTAAAAATAATTTTATTTTTAAAATTATAATTAAAAAATACTTATGAAATTTTAAAAGCAGCATTAATAATAATTATTTTTATAAAAAAAAAAATTAATTATTATCATCAATAATAAATAAAATTAACCTATTGACATCTCCTAAATTATCTCTAAATTTTTCAATATTAGTTTAGATATATATTTTAAAATGTGTATTAACCGTCAAAATATTTTTTTAAGGGTTTATTATTTAAATAAATTTTATTAAAAAAATAAAAGTTTTTACGAAAAGTTATCACTATTATTGAAACTTTTTAAACTAAAAAGTTTTTTTTTTTTTCTAGCAAGTATAAAGCAATTATTTGGACAAACAAATAAAAATAATATTTTAAATTAAACTTTTTATTTTGTAGCAGTAAAGTGGGGACCAGATTGTCAGACAATGTTGGAAAATGGAGCAGACGGAAAAGAAATAAAGGAAAAAAGGCGTATCAGGATTCTGTCCAATCTGGATTCCCACGTGTCAAATATGGACTTCGGAGCTGCCGTGGGCTTCCATGGGCCCCCAGGATTCTTGGGGTCCAACAAATACTTGGGCTGGGCCCATTTACAGTAAATTTAAAAATAATAAATTAAATTTATAATTTAAGCTTAGGTGACAGCTGGCAAATGTCTTTTTGCATGAATAAGACATAAAAGAAGAGACTGTAAAGCCAAAAGTACACCCTACAGAAAAATTATAAATTAATTCTTTAAATGGAAAATACCAAAATATAATATCATTATTTTGGCATGCTTTTATAAGAAGAAAATATATATAATTAATTAATTAATTAATTAAAAGGTTAAAGTCCGTACATAAGTGTCATTGTCCTACAACCAAAGGCCTTATTTTTATTCACATGTACCTAATGGCATTGGTGAGGGCTTCTTTTGGTTCCTTAGGACTATGCTTGTATGTAGGTAGGTAATAGCAAGTGGCATTCTAGCAGTTGACCTACTCGACTATACTACTCGACTATAAAAGCTCGGCTCCTGTTACAAAATATCCAAATGCTTCAAGCTTTGGGGCGCCAAGCTACGACACTGCCTCTGTCGCTCATTACTGAACGCGCATTTCCTCGTGTGTTATATTGTAACAGTCTAAACCTATTGCTAACAGATATTGTCCGCTTTGGCCCGTTACATATTACTATCAATCTCATGATTTTAAAGTGCGTTTATTCGGGAGAAATGTTTCATTCTCCTTCTCCAACTGATGTGAGATCTAACAATCCACCCCTTTGGGGGCCAGCATCCTCGTTGGCACACGGCTCGACCTGAAGGCTCATCGGCCAAGGCCCTTTATAAAGAAGAGGGGTTGTTCCTACCCAATTGGTAGTATGAGAAGCTGCCACTTGGGCTATTCAAGCTCCTAAATCTCCGTCTACCTAGTCCTGTTGGCAGCTGGTGGAGACATTTCTTTGGCCCCGTCTTGATACCATTTCTAACAACTCAAACTCGCCACTAGCAAATATTGTGTTATGTATCGTCATTAGCCTCACAGTTTTAAAGCATGTTTATTAGGGAGAGGTTTCCACACCCTTATAAGAAATGTTTCGTTCCCCTCTCCAATTCATGTGGGACCTACCATCTATCGCCGTTATTTCACTTCACCATAACCTCCCACTACTCACCTCTTCAAGCATTGCAGCCTCACACCAAATACCCATAACCCGATTCATTGTTGTTCTGGTTGCCCCTTCCTCAGTTTGTCACAACAGACAATCATTGTTCTCGCCAAACTCTGTTAATCTTCCCAAACAATTGTCGTCATCTTTTCCCTCACACCAATGTGTCATTTGTCCCTTAGCCTCCTCACTAGATCTACACATGTTTCAAAAACAAATATTAATACTTGAGTATAACTCTCATTAGATCATTATTATTCTTATCACGTCGTTTTTCGTAGGTCAATTAATAAATTTGCCGCTATTTTTCAAATTTGAAAAGACTAAAATGCCCATTATGTTATGAGCTAAAGGACCATAGACAAAGGGATACATTTGTCATTTTATGCTGTGGGGGGATAAGATCCAAATAATCACAGTCCAATTCTACAAGCCACACTAAGGGCCAGTGGCCACAATAATTGGGTGAGGTGCTAATCAAAATGCCCCAAAAAGAATGTCAACTTTTTCAGCCTTAACTACGAAAACGACGTCATTTAATTTTTATTTAAATATTATTTTATATAAGTATTTTAATTTTAATTTTTTATTTTATATGTAAAAAAATAAAAAATTAAAATTAAAATACTTTTCTTTATATATATATATTATATTCGAATAAAACTTTGTTTTCTAATTTTCTCCAATGATCCATCGCTATTTTCACGTGCTTCTGTTTTCTTTTTTCCACGTTATTTATCTTATTTGTTTATTTATTTATCCAATTATTCCCCTTTTAATAGAAATATCATTTTCACCTTATTTTATATTAATAAATTTATTAACCCTATCTTATCCATTACTTTTACATTGATCTCACTATGGTTTAACATTTATTGGACAAATACGTGATATGGTCTATAAAAGAGATTTGATAAATTATATAAAACAAAAATGCTATTTTCTTCTATCGATATTTAATAATAAAAAAACCATGACGAATTAATTTAAAATTAAAAATGTTAAACCCGTCTTTGCTATCTCGGTCTTTTAATCCAAGCTCTTCACTCATAGCTCTAAGTCGATATACCTACAACACGTGAGAAAATAAGAGATACCTGAATGAACTGATACCACATTTGAATTAGCGTAATTATGATGATAGGATAACTAAAAAAATGTTAAAAAACTGAAAGTTACTGCATATATTAAAAAAAATTAAGCGTGTTTTACTCACTGTTAGAAGTTAGAAGTAAATAACACGAGCAGGTCGAAAAAAAATGTCGGGGCCATAAATCTTGCACGGGGCGTTATTTTTTACGTACGTTTTTAATAAAATCCTTTTTTTATTATTATTATTGATTATCATGTTCGACTTTTCTTCTCCGTTCTGTCTCTATCAACAATATATATATAGGGAATAAAATTTTATGATCTCTTACGAGAACGGGAAGTCTTTCTAATGGAAGAATATTATTCCTATCCCACTCTCTTGACGTTCTCAAAGATTATCGTGTTCGTGTTTGTCTTTGTCGTCGTCGTCATTGTCATTATCGTCATAATATTTGCTTTCGTTTTTTTTTTTTTCTATTCATTCCCGAAGAAGCGATAAAAATAAAATATTATCTTAGTTTAAGAAAATTATATGCAAACTAGAATTTTAAAACTTTATAAATATTTAAATTTTTAAATTTTATATGAGTTTTAAAATTTGTAATTTTATGTCTTTTTTTTTTTAATTTTAATTTTGTGTCAAATAATTTTAATTAAAAAATTTAAATAATTATTACTTTAGAATTTGAAAATTTTGAAGGAGAATAATATATATATATATATATATATATATATAGTCTGTGTATATATATATCTGAAGCATGTTTTCTTCTTCAACTAAAAATTCCCTCTTTGAAACTTTGCTAGAAGGAGAGAAAACATTTGGATTACTCGACGGTGACTATCCGGTGATCAAAGCACAAGAATATTTTTGAAAACATGAAGCGGATAGCGAAGGTTGCGTCACAGAAGGCGGTGGTGATATTCAGCAAGAGCTCGTGTTGCATGAGCCATGCAATTAAGAGACTCTTTTACGATCAAGGTGTCAGCCCGGCCGTGTACGAGCTCGACCAGGACTCGAGAGGAAAAGAGATCGAATGGGCCCTTCGGCGCCTCGGCTGCAACCCCGCTGTCCCCGCCGTCTTCATCGGTGGCCAATTCATCGGCACCGCCAATGCCATCATCACCCTTCACCTTAATGGCTGTCTCGATAAATTGTTGAAGGAAGCCGGAGCACTTTGGCTCTGATATTCTCCTACACAACTACACATCGATCAATAATAAGACTAGAGAAGTTCTTTTCTATTGATATTCTCGCTCAGTATTTTTTTTTTTTTAATTACTCATAAATTTTGATAAACTTTAATTCTATTAAAAAAATTATGATTTTATGACGATATTGTGCTCGATAGCCGAAAAATATATCGATAATTTTGTCTCTTGAAAATTAAAATATTTTATGACAATATTATGCTAGGAATATTTTAAAAAATAATTTTAGCCTTTTATATTAATTATTATATATGTTTTATGTTCCGAGATTACGTGTGAAGATAAATATCGTTAGGGATCACGTGAAGTAGTTTTAATAGAGAAATTCGTGAGAATTATGTAATACAATGCATCGAGGTCGAAAAAGATTGAGTTATATTCGAATGCCAAATTAAAATATATATATATATTCTTTCGTTAAGAATATGGGATAAATTCCAAATTTCCCACTAATTAGCCTTTGCTCATCGTGTGTCTATATATATATATATTTTAATTGGATAAGAAATTATTTTATTTGTGAACGAGTAAAGTAAGAGTACATGAATGAACCGAAACCGCATCTGAACGAGATTGATTTTGAAGGTAGAATGATTGAGAAACGCTTAAAATAATTAATAGTTACGATCAAAGTTAAACGTGCTTAAATTGGAGCAATTCTATATTTCGGGTTGCCTCCTTCGAATTTTTTTAAAACACGAGATGTTGAAATGATTTGTGTTGATAATCTTCGCTCTTAGGAGCAATTTAAGACAAATAGGTAATATGGTCATGTATCACGAAAGTATCGAGATCATCAGGTGTCGAATTCGGATTCCAAATATTAATTTGAATCGTGAGTATGAATAATACTAAATAAACGTTAAATACATAATAATACATAACAATTATAAACAACAATAAACCGTAAAATCAAATTCATCCCTCAATGGTTCCAACATTCTTCTACAAATACGACTATGGTGCATGCTTGACTCGAACTACTTCAACGGGCGAAGATCGTTCTCATAAATCAACACGAATCATTACAGAACCTTTGAGGTTATCGAACATAAACAAAACATGTTTTATTTTGAAGTTTCAATGATTGCAGTACCAAAAAAGAATGTGTATGTCGTTGGTATGGTTAATAAATATTAATTATTTTAAAAAAATTAAACTATAATTTAAAATCTAAAAAATCAGGCGGCACAAATTTAGCCATCTACTACTGCAGTTTCCCCAAATGGATTGAAAATTGGGCTTAGTATCGCAAGCCCAGGCCCAATAAGCCCAAAGTGGATAAAAAATTAATTAAATTGATTGGTTAAATTAATATTAATATTATTATATTATTATTACATAAACCAACCCAATTCATACCCAAATGAAATTATATAATTTATAAAGAATAAAAAAAGCTATAAATAAATTAAATTATCAAATATTAACGACATTTTTAAAATATTTTTAAAAAATATAATATAAATGAATTATAGGAATATATATGCTCCATCAAATTCCTTACCTTTTCCTTTCAACCATATTCTCTTGGATTAAGTTTTTTTGGTATGAATAAAAAAAAAAGTTTATTTATGGAAAAATAAAATAAATTAATTTTTTTTTAAAAACGCGATTACTTTTTAAACTTCAAATCACGAGCTACGTTTCACTTCAATGACCTCATATAGTATAAGTAGAGATATAGCCTTTAATTGCATAGCTCGAGATTTTTTTAAAAAATTGCAAAAAATAAAATAAAAAAAAAGTAAAAAACTCAAATTATGGAAAAATGGAATTGATTCCACCTTATGTTATGATGGAAATTTTAATAACTAGCTATATATATACCTTTAAAATTTAAATAATATTCCTTAAATACAAAATGGATATGTAAAAATAATAATAATAATAAATAAATAAATAAATAAATACGTAACGAAAAAATATTACTAAGATTTAATGATTTTTTTTTAATGTATTTACATTATAAATAGTGATGCCAAATTTTTCATCCCACGAATTAAATTATTATAAATTTGAAAATAAAAAATAATAATGGGTGATTTTAGGGTTTATATGGATTTAGGTGGATAGGAGTGGATTTTAGTAAATTATAGGCCAAAATAATGGTTATTAGGTGTGAAGATCAGTGTATTTCTGTGGGTAAGTTATTATTAGAGACATGATTATTAAAAAAAAATGGTAAATTTTCTGTTTAAAGATGCCTTTGGTTCATCAAAATCAAATAACCATAGATGGAAATAAGGGTTTGTGGTTAAATTTTATTTGAAAATCAGCTAAACACGAGTTCAACGACATGTCGGATATGAGAATTCGAACCTTTTGACCTCTTAGTTAACGATATATGTCTTAGTCGGCTAGATATGTCGGGTTTGTCGGGTTGTATCGAGTTATAAAGTTTGATACGAAGTTCGAAAAAATTAGGGAACTAAAATTCAGCACGGATTTAGTTAAGCCGAGAAATTATCCGATAGATTTGAACGTATAAAAAAAATGTTAATTTGATAATTTGATTCCGAACAAAATTAATTTATTTAAATGTGATTTTATAAATAAATAAAAAACTATAGAGACATAAATATTAGGAATAAAAATATAAATTAAAAAGTGAAAATACGATTTTGCCATTCAGTATTTAAATGATTATTAAAATTTAGGGGGTAAAATTTAAATTATATAAAAGAGAGGTGCCATATAAAAAATTAATGTTCACATCAAAACCATCAATAAATAGGTCCAAAAATACTAATTATTTAAAAGTGGGGCAATTTTTAAAAAAATGAAAGCTGTTTAGCCCATTTTTGTAAATTACCCAAACTTTGTAGATAGAATTCAAAATTTGAGAAAATTATTGGGTTTAAGAGAAAAAATTGAAAAAATATATAAGTTGGGGTTTATTTTATTTTATTTTTATTTACCTCAAAAGTGAATTACCCCAAACAACCTTTTCACTATGGCCGACCAAACATTTGGGCAGTGACTCTTCCACCTTAGAAGCTGTCCTAAAAGATTCACTAGTAACTGACAATTTTAATATATACATATACATATACATATACATATATATATATATTGGTCTCGAGCCTCTCTCAACCATATGTAATTCTCTTGAGTCTCTCCGTCTTTAACGACCTCCATCTTTTCCGCTCTTTACATCTCTCAGTCTCCTTCGACCTCTATTAGTCGGTCACTGTCTCTCTGTCTCTTGCCTTCTTTTCTATCTCAGCTCTCTCGAGTTCCGTTTGTTCATCTTCTGTCTCTCGTTTGCTTAAATCTCAATATTTGCTGTTTCTCTAGACTTCAGACTCTTCGTCTCAACTGGGTGATCGAACCCAACTCAACTTGAAAAAAATAGAGGGTTGGTTAGGCTGCATTGTAAACCCTATTTAGTTCATTCGAGTAGATAATCCAACCAATCTAAAATTTTGGGTTAGTCCAAAAATTGCATTAGTGCTCCAATATTATCTTTACCATTTCATAAATGTTTCAAAATTACAGTAAAAATATGTTATAATTTATTATGAAAATTGAGATTCAGAATGAGTGCAATGGTAATTTAGACGTTGTGACAGTGTTCAAATTCCAATTTCTGTTATGGGTCACTACTACACTACTTAAAGTTTCAATTATTACCTGAAGATATACGTGTCATCGTTTACCTAATTAAATTAATTATTTTAATAAAATATGTAAACATTTTTTTAATGATATATTTTAGATTAAATAAATGTAATTATAATTATAATTTTTATATATCAACTGTCTAATCAATTTTATTATTATAATTGAAGGGAGGATGAGTTGAATTAGTTTACAAGTTGTCTTAAAACTAGTTTAGGTTGAATTAAACTATCGAATTTGTTATTAATTTTATTTAATATATATATTCCCGACTCGAAATCTATCAAGAACTTGTTGGGAGAGAAAATAGGGAGCCCTATACCATACATTGACTGCACGATACATCATAGCAGCATGACAAAATAAAGTCGGAAGCCTGGTTGGGCGTTCCTGCGCACCTGCCATCCTGCAAGAAAAGGCCCCTAACTCGAGAACAAAGTAAGGGATATATATATATTTTACCTATTAACATTTTATTTTTAATTAAAAAGTTTAACTCGAACCATTAGAACCAACCTAATTCATTATATTATGTCTCGGTTAGGCTAAAATTATTATTTAATAAAATTTATTTGGATTGAAAAATTTTACCATCCCAATAATTTAGTTCAGTCTAAAAATGTAACTCGACCCAATTCAACCTAATTTGAACTATATATATGTATATAGATATGACGTTTTATCTACTTCAGAGTAATAATTGGATGAATCGCCATGATATTATGATAATTAACGTCTTATCCATTAAGCTACGGTTACGATAGATATATTATATTATATATATATATATATAGGAATTAAAAAAATGTAGATAAAATATAAAAATATTATAATATAGGAAAGCCACAAATGGAGATTGCGTTAGTATTGGATAATAAGAAGGCAATAAAATGGGATTTAAAACATGTGTTTAAGAATATCCATCACAATTCCCTCCGCCGTGGGACCCACTGCCTCCGACCGCGATGATTATTATTACCGATCCCTTCTGCCACTGGCCGTAAATTTATTTATTTTTTTTAATTTTTATTTTATTTTATTTTTCCCCCAAAGGCCCAAAGGGGCAGAAATTAAAATTTGTTCACTACTTAAATTCCTTAACGATTTGCAATTAAGAAATTAATTGCACCCAGATTTGGTCTTCCAATTCAATGGCCATATAAATATCTTATTCTCTACTTAATCGACTGTCTTTTTTTTTTTTTTTTTTTTTTTTTTTA